TATAACAAAGAGCAAGCATTGGAAAAAGGACAGTCTATTTTTATAAACGATGCTGAGAAAATTGTGGATATCTGCATGCAGAAGGTTGAAACTAGATACTCATATCTCACCATGTACAAAAATCAAACAAAATGGATTAAAAACCTAAAGATGAGACCCCAAACTTTGACACTATTGGAAAACACTTTGGGAGGCTGGAATGGGAAAGAATTTTTTGGATTACATCCCAAAAGCAAAGGAAATAAAAGAAAAAAAAAGATATAAAATCTCATCAAACTAAACAGCTCCTGTACAGCCAAAGGAAACAACCAACAAAATGAGGAGACAACCTACAGAATGGGGGAAAATATTCACAAGCTATCCATCTGACAAGGGGCTAATATCTAGTATTTATAAGGAACTCAAACAACTCAACAGCAAAGAACAAATAATTCAGCCAAAAAATGGGTAGCTGACATAAACAGACATTTTTCAAAGAAATGCATACAAATGGCCAAAAGGTACATGAAAAAAATGCTCAACATCACAAATCAGAGAAATGAAAAACAAATCCACAGTGAGATTCACCTCACTCCAGTAAGATTGGCTGTTATCAAAAAGACAAAAGGAGTCAAGTGTTGGTGAGAATTTGGAGGAAAAGGAATCCTTGCACACTACTGGTGGGAATGTAAATTAGTACAGCCATTGTGAAAAACAGTGTAGGCATTCCCCCAAAAAGTAAAAGTAGAACCAGCATATGATCCAGAAATTCCATTCCTGGGTATTTATCCAAGGGAAATGAAATGCACCTGTGGAAGAGACAGCTGCACTTCCATGATTATCACAGTACCATTCATAAAAGCCAAAAAATGGAAACAACCCAAGAGTGCACCCACCGGTAAAGAAAGAAAACATGGTATATAAATGCAAAGGAATATCACTCAGCCATAAAAATGATGCAATTTCATTATTTTCAGCAACATATATGGAACTGGAGGTAATTATATTAAGTTACATAAACCAAGCATGACAAGACAAATATCACATGATCTCACTTTTATGTAGAGTCTAAAAATATGTTCTTTCACAAAAGTTAAAAATATAATGGTAGCTACCAGAGGCTGGGAAGGGAAGGGGGGAAGGAAGGCTGGGAAAAGGCTGATTGACAGGTGGTAGGTTATAGTTAGATGGTGGTAAGAAGTTCTGGAGTTCTGTGCCACAATATGGTTTAATATTAATGTACTGTCTATTTCTCTATTAAAAAAACTAAAAAATAGGATTTTGGATGTTTTCATTATAAATATTAAATTCTTGAAAAGACAGATGTATTTCCCTTATTGAACACTGCACAATATATACATGTAATGAAATATCACATAGTACTTCATAGATATGTACAAAGTGTATGTCAAAATTCTTTTTAAATTTAAAAGTTATAAATTTAAATTTAAAAGTTATAAAAAGTTCTGTAAAAGCCAGTTTTTTTTAAAAAGATTTATTTTATTTATTTGAAAGACAGAGTTAGAGAGAGATAGAGACACAGAGAGAGGTCGTCCCTCCACTGGTTCACTCCCCAAATGTCTGCAACAGTGGGAGCTGAGCTGACCTGAAGCAAGGAGCCAGGAGCTTCTGCGTCTCTCACATGCAGGGGTGCAGGGGCCCAAGGACTTGGGCCACTCTCCACTGCCTTCCCAGACATATTAGCAGGGGAGCTGGATCAGAAGTGAAGCAGCTGGGACTTGAACCAGCACCCATATGGGATGCCAGAGCTGCAGGCCATGGCTTTAACCCGCTGTGCCACAACGCTTGCCTCTGAAAGCCAGTTATTAAAGACATTTTTCATCTGTGTTGTTCTAGACTCTTGGAAAGGATAACATTTTAGAATCGGTACTTGGAAAATGTATTCCCATTCAAAGAATTGACATGTATACTTTAAAAATCAAATAATCATAATCACACAACTCATTTTCCTTTCTGCTTGGCTTCCAAAAATCCTGCAAAAGAAGTATACAGTGAGGCTAAATCCTAGTACAGAGGCATATATTTGGGGCATACTTCCTTCTTCCTTAAAAAACAGTTCTAGCTGGCGCCGCGGCTCACTAGGCTAATCCTCCGCCTTGCGGCGCCGGCACACCGGGTTCTAGTCCCGGTCGGGGCGCCGGATTCTGTCCCGGTTGCCCCTCTTCCAGGCCAGCTCTCTGCTGTGGCCAGGGAGTGCAGTGGAGGATGACCCAAGTGCTTGGGCCCTGCACCCCATGGGAGACCAGGATAAGTGCCTGGCTCCTGCCATCGGATCAGCGTGGTGCGCCGGCCACAGCGCGCCAGCCGCGGCGGCCATTGGAGGGTGAACCAACGGCAAAGGAAGACCTTTCTCTCTGTCTCTCTCTCTCACTGTCCACTCTGCCTGTCAAAAAAAAAAAAAAAAAAAAAGTTCTAATTTAATAATGATACTATCCACAAGTCTTGTACTGTAAAGAATCTCAGATGCTTTTTTGGAGGTCGTGGGAGTAAATAATAAATGAAAGCACACACAGAACATTTCCTGTTTTGACTTTCATCGAAGGGAAGGATTATGCTTTTCTGGTACCAATAAGCGCGAAGTTCTCCCTATGCACAACACACGCTCCTGGGCTGGTATGTTTAAGAATGACCACAGGCTGTAAGGGTCAGGAATCTAGCTGTAGAACTACAGCATATGTAGAGACAACATCAGGAAACATGATTTCAAACATCCATGCTACCCTCGGGCTCCATAAGTCTCATTACTCAATTAGCAATATGAACATTTGATGAAAACATTTTTTTTTTTTTTTGAGTCAGCAGCTTAAATACTGGTATTTTGGCTAACATTTTTTTCAAGGGTAGGAAAGTTTTTGGATAACTATTTTTGGTAACTTTTTTCTACCAACTCATTTCTACCAACTCATGTTCATGGTAGAAATTTGTAAAATCAAGAAAGTAGAGGCTGGCACTGTGGCACAGTGGGTTAAGCAGCAGCCTGTACTACTGGCATCCCATTTGGGCACCAGTTCAAATCCCAGCAGCTCCACTTCCAATCTAGCTCCTTGCTAATGCACCTGGGAAAGCAGAGAGAGATGGCCCAAATCTTTGGGCCCCTGCACCCATGTGGAAGACACAGAGGAAGCTCTGGGCTCCTGGCTTGGGCCTGTACAACCCTGGCCATTGTGGCCATCTGGGGAGTGAACTAGTAGATGGAAGATTTCTCCAACCATCTTTCCTTTTCTCTCTCTCTCTGTAACTCTGCCTTTCAACTAAATAAATAAATAAATCTTAAAAAAAGAGAAAGTATAAAAGGAACAAATTAAAATCATCTATATTCATCCATTGGATTCTCACTGTATAATTTGACACTATATGCATATAATTTGACACTATATATAGTATATAAGTGTCCTGTTTCCATTTATCATTATATAGTGAGAAGTCCTAGGTACTAGATGTTGTTCAAAAACAAATTATTGAGCAACATTTCATCGACAGATTTACTCAACCATTACCCATTTTCTTTATTGAATACTGTGATCTACATTCCTAAAAACAGTGATGATAACATGTATCACTTACTACAGTACATGCCAAATACTGTGCTAGGTACTTCATATAAATTATCTTTGTCTCATAATAATTGGATATAATAATAGTAATCAAAATAATTGTCCTTCTGTTATAGATTGATAAAACCAAGCACTAGAAGCCAATGAAGTTGCCCACAGCAAGCTAAAGGAATTACCTCTAATTTGACTTAAGCAAACGTTCCAATTTGGATTTTATGAATAAGCAAATAAGATTGTTCAAGGATTCCTATTGCCTATGCAAGTATACAGTTAACGGCTTCAAATGAAGAAAACTGAGTTCTTCTCTATTCTCTTTCTTCTTTATGTGTATAATGTCTAACTATACACAGTTAATATTATATATTAATAAGTATGTATTTAAAGAAAGACGGTGTAACAAGAATATTTAGCATTTTGCTTTGGTACTTATTATTTTGCCATGATAACACATTATAGACTTCGAATCCTTATTCTGTGGTATGTGAGCACTCGCTCTAGAAATGAACCTTTCATTTTCATTTTCTAAATGGATGGTGACATCACTGTCATGAAGAGGAATTAAGACAAGAGGTGGTGAAAATTCTGAAAATCCTAGCTGACTAGACAGAGAGCCCGGCTCCAGCGCCACGGCTTTAACGAGCGGGTAAGGATGCTTTCCAATCAGCACACGATTGGACGACGGAGAAATCAAGGCTTGTTCCTGCGGTTAGTGACGGCCGCAGCGGTCGCAGGCACCACATCGCTGTGCGCCCCCAGTCCCAGCTAGAGGATTCAGAACGCCCCTTCCCGGTACTCGGCGGCACCAACGTTATCCAAACCTGAGCGGTAACTGATGGGTGAGAACATGCCGCAGCTAAAATCGATCGTCCTGGGCACCCACCCGGCGGGCCCAGGAACACGGCAGAAGACAGAGGCAGGGGGCGTGGACAATTTAGTAAACCCTAGATGTACAGAGAGGAAAGGAAGGGGCCGCAAAGGTGACTTCCCGACAGTCTAACCGAACGTGTCCGACAGAAGTAACTTGGCTTTTGCAGACACGCGGGGTGGCCTAGAGCCCCCGCCGGGACGTCGGTTCTAAGCCTCTGGCGGCCCCCAGGCCCGCGCCGAGGCCCGTCTCGTCCCCTCAGGCGGTCGCGCCGCCGCCGTCCGGGGTCTCGGCGCCCGGCAGCCCCCAGCCCCATCCCGGTTCCCCGCGGCTCTGGCGCCCTCGCCTTCGGCCAGAAGCAGCAGCAACAGCAGCAGGAGCAGGAGGAGGAGGAGCAGCAGCAGCAGCGGCAGCGACATGGCCCGCCCAGGCCGGGCCGGACCCCCGGGGGCCAGCGGAGGGCGGCCCGGCGCGCCGGGGCTGGGGGCGCGGCGGGGGCGGGGCGCCCGGGCGTTGCTACGACGCGGACGGCGCGCGCCCCTGGCAGCCGGCCCGCCCACGTCAAGGTTTGTTTAATCATCGGCAGGGTATTTATGGCCGGGCCCCGGGGGGCGGCGGCGGGGGAGCCAGGAGACCGCGCCGGGCAGCGGATGAGGCGCGGCGGCTGCGGCCCAGGGCACCTCCCCCCGGCTTCCCGAACCCTGCCCGGTCCGACCCGAGGGGGAGGATGGAAACACCAGCGGCGCTCTGAGCCCCTCCGGAAGACACCCCGCTCCCCGCCATTACCACCCCGCGGACCTGAAGAAGCCACCGCCTCGTCCCCTCCGCGTCTCCATCTCCAGAGCGGGGCCGAGCGGAAAAGCGAGCGATGGCGGAAAACCTGAGGAGGCTGATCTCGAACGAATCTTTACGATTGTTGCAGGGAAAGCTGGAGACCTGGGCGAAAGAGTATAACGTAAGTCGGGCCGGGAGACCGCCGCCGCTCGCCCTTCCTAGGTTCCCTGCAAAAGTTGTAGGGGTGGCGTGCGGCGGCTGCTTTGCAAACACCCGGTGCTTGTGATCGCTAACCAGGACCTCAGCCTCGCGCTAGGGTCGCGGCCCGCAAGGGCGCGTGCCCCCCACGACCGCTTGGCGGCGCTGTGGGGACACGGCCCGCGGAGCGCAGGCCTCCCCTGGAGAAGGAAGCCCGCCTTCCTGGAGCGGTAGCCAAGGACGCTCTCGGCCCTAGCAACGGGGAGGCTGGCTACCTGGGACGGGTCTGGTCGTGCCTGCCTCCCTCCCTCTCATGCCCCACGCCAGAGCAGTCCACACCTCACAACAATTGTTTAACTACACTCCTGCCTCTGCAAGTCTCCCACTCTGGGGACATCCAGGGGTTATCTCAGAATGGATTTTTATAAGCACGCACCCTTGAGATGGTACTCAGGAGTGAGTTAAGTGGTTGTTAACTTTGCAGGTTTCGCTTGTTTGCTGGTCAGCATGGCGATTAAGGCACAATTTCAACACCAAGACGAATTGCAGAAGGGCTGTTGCCGGGGCGTTTGTAAGGAGGCAATGTTCCGTCACCAAACACATAAGCACTCTTCAAGTCTCATTAATCCATACCCCTGAAATCGGCCAAAGTACCAGTAGAAACTGACCTCGGGTCCACTGGCCCTGAGGACGAGGCTCCCACTCCTGCATAGCAAGCAGAGCAGTGAGGCAGACAGACGTGGACTGGACAGTAAGTAGCTCCCAGCCTAGGTTCTAGGTCTGGCTCTGCGTGCAGCTGTAGCTGAATGACCTGGGCAGTTATGTAAGCTGTGTGGTCTCAGAACCTCGTCCGCCTCAAGGGAGAGATTGCACTGGGTGAGGGTGATGTTCCTTCTGAGAGCTGCTGCTTTCTTCTTGGCCTCCCTGTCTGGCATTTGGTGTTTCTTCCTTTTGTTGCCCTTAAAGACCCAGCTCTGGACGGTACTTTTCCAAAAAGAAGAATTCAGGGAGATTAAAATGACCTCTTTATCACAAAGATTGTGCTCCCCTCACCACTTTTTAAAGGACGTGTTTGCTACCTTGTCTCAGGAGGCTGAGAATAACAAATCCTCATATATCTGTTCCTCTTTTTTTAAATTGGCCTGTGGCCTACTTAAATTCTGAATTTTACAAAGAACATTGTTGGTCACTTTGCTTAACACAAAAGACACTAGCACTTGCCTGGAACAAATGAAGTGATTGTTTTAGTGAGAACAGTGCTGAGAAATGCCGTACCTGATCACAGTTTCCTGTCATGGTGGCAGCTCATTCCCCTGTTCTCCTTAAAACTATCTCAGTACAGCCACACCTTCCTCCACTGCACAGGAGCGAGGTAGAGTCCACACTCACAACAGCCAGTGAGTTTCCAAGCTGTTTCCCAGGCTCCAGGATTCTTCTGGAGCTTCCTGTGGTCTGTCACGTGGGGATGCTGACACGCCCTCTGCATTCTCCTCTGCTGCTTTGTCTTTTACAGGACGCGGATGAAGCTCCCATCTCTATGCAGGGCCTGTCCTCCTCTGAGCTTTCACTTCTCTGGTGGCCCATTGGCCATTTTCAATAGGGAGTACTATCGCCAAGCCAACGTCAAACCAGTCTCAGAGTGAATTTCGCTCCAACCACAACTCGCTTTCCCGACTTAATTGTCTTCCTCATGATATACCCTGCATCCCTTTCACCAGCATAATGTTTGTTCCAACCTCAGAATTCGTACAGAAGGTGAAAATCTTCATCGCCTCCACTACTGCCTATGTCTGCCTTTGATCATATTTTGCCTGGATTATTTTTTTTTAATTTACTTATTTATTTGAGAGTCAGAGTTACACAGAGAGAGGAGAGGCAGAGAGAGAGAGAGAGGTCATCTATCCGCTGCTTCACTCCCCAGTTGGCCACAAAGGCTGGAGCTGTACCAATCCAAAGCCAGGAGCCAGGTGCTTCTTCTGGGTCTCCCATGCGGGTGCAGGGGCCCCAACACTTAGGCCATCTTCTACTGCTTTCCCAAGCCACAGCAGAGAGCAGGATTGGAAGTGGAGCAGCCAGGTCTCGAACTGGTGCCCATATGGGATGCCGGCACTTCAGGCCAGAGCTTTAACCCATTGCGCCACACTGCCGGCTCCTGCCTGGATTATTATAAGAGTAATAATGTTACTCAAAGTGAGTCTTCTAAATGTCAAATCATACCACTTAGTCTTTTAATTAAACCCTTCAAACTTTGTATTTCTCTCAGAAGACCAGGATCCTACGAGAGCCTTCAAAACCACACATAGTTGTATCACTTTATCCTCCCTGACCTCATTTTTTGCCCAGTCCACTCCATCAGTGCTGGCCTTCTTGCTCTTCCTGCCAACAGGGCTTTCTATGATGTTAGATGTGTTCTGAATCTGCAGGGTTCAATATGGTGGCTGTTGGGCACTTGAAATGTGGCAAGTGCATACTGAGGACCTGAATTTTTTGTTTCACTTCCGTTTAAATTCAAAGAGCCACATGTAGCTAGTGGCTCCTGTTCAGGACAGCACAGCTCCGGAGCCTGTCAGACATGCTTCTGCTTCAGGGCAGTTTGCCCCTGCCATTCCTCTTTGTGGAAAGCTTTTCACTGGCTGAGCCAAAGTTCTACATGGCTTTCTGAATGCCTTCAAGCCGTTAAGTGAATGTCATCTTCCCAGAGATGTCCACCTGCTCGTCCTGTTTATAACTGCAATCTCCTATCCTCCTTCCTGGGCACTCTCTATCTCCATTCCTTCTTCGATAATAACTATACCTTCTTTTTTAAAAAGTTATGCATTTATCAGTCCGATCAGTGACAACTAACCGAGCACCAAAAAGGAAACCTGTTGAAGTGAAATGGACAGTATGAGAAACAGTGACTTGATCAGCCCTTGTTCTGACTGTCGATGAACAACTTAATACTTTATCCCTTTTAGTATTTTTTTGATCTACTTAATACTATTGATTGAACTCTTTAATTAACACACAATTATTCTTAGGTGTTTAAATTTAACTGAAAAGTGATCCCTGTTAAATATATTTGGATCTGGCTGAAGAGCCCATGAGAGTATTTTAGGCATGGAAAGCCAAGACACTCTGCCAAAAAAAAAAAAAAAAGGACCTAAATGAAAGATCTCTGCAAGTGAGATCCCAGTGGAAAGACCAGGCCATCAAAGAAGGAGGAACTTCCACTTTGACTATGAACTTGTCTAAACAAGATCAGAGTCAGCAAACTCAAAAGGCTTCCATAGCCTTGGCAACTCATGACTAGAGCCTAGGGAGATTATAGATGCCATAGAGTGTCAGTGTCAATTTGTTAAGTCAACAACAGGAGTCACTGTGCACTTACTCCTCATGTAGGATCTCTGTCCTTAATGTGTTGTTCAATGTGAATTAATGCTAGAACTAGTACTCAAACAGTATTTTACACTTTATGTTTCTGTGTGGGTGCAAACTTTTGAAATCTTTACTTAATATATACTAAATTGATCTTCTGTATATAAAGATAATTGAAAATGAATCTTGATGTGAATGGAATGGGAAAGGGAGCAGGAGATGGGAGGGTTGTGGGTGGGAGGGAAGTTATGGGGGGGGAAGCCACTGTAATCCAAATGCTGTACTTTGGAAATTTATATTCATTAAATAAAAGTTAAAAAAAATAAAAGTTGAAAATAAAAAGTTATGCATTTATTTCAAAGAGTTACAGAGAGAGAAGGAGAGACAGAAAGATCTTCCTTCTGTTGGTTCACTCCCCAGATAACCACAATGGTCTGGGCTGAAGCTAAGGTGCCAGAACCTTCATCCAGGTCTCCCATGTCATTGACAGGGGCCCAGATTCCTGGATCATCTTTCTGCTGCTTTTCCCAGGCCATTGGCAGAGAGCTGGATTGGAACTGGAGCAGCTGGGAGTCAAATTGGCGCCCATATGGGATGATGGCATTGCAGGTGGTGATTTTACTCAATATGCCACACTGCCAGCCCAGTACCTATGCCTACCTAGTAATTTATGTTATCATCAGTCTCCCTATCCCCTCTGCTAGAATGGAAACTCGGAGGGCAGAGAGTTCTGCCTTGTGCTACTCACTACTGTAGAACAATACTTGGCACCTGCTAGATGTTCAACAAATACTTAATGATGAATGAATGCTGGACTCTCAGCTTCTTTGACTAATTTCCCTTCTCAAAAATCTCATAACCAGTGTATAATTTAAAATGATGACTAAGTACCCCTAATTGAGCCTTTATTAAAGTTTCATTGAGGAGTGGACACCTGGTGCAGGGGTTAGATACCCTCACCCCATGTTGGAGTGCCTGGTTTGGGTCCCAGCTCCTCTGTTTCTGATTAGGCTTCCTGCTGTGTGTACCCTGGGAGGCAGTGGATGAAGGCTTATGGAGTGATGGCTCAGATGCTTGAGTGCCTGCCACCCACGTGGGAGACCTGGGTTGAGTTCCTGGCTCCGTTCTTTGGTCTGATTGAGCCCTAGCTTGGCGGGCATTTGGGGAGTGAACCAGTAGATGGAGAATCTCTTTCTCTCTTTCTGCTTCTCTGTCCATGTCTCTTTCCCTGCCTCTGTTCCTTTCAGATAAAATGAAAATGAATAAATTTGTAAAACTAATTTAAAAATTGTACTAGGACTTGAAGCCAGTTTCCAAGTTGGGGCATAAGTGAAAGGATGGAAAGTGTTTTTAGCAATTAGTCTTTGTGTAGCTCAAGAGAGAGGATGAGGAAATATCTATATATTTCTTACCATACAATTTAAGTCACATCCCAACTTCTGAATCTTGTGAATCTTGTTATCCTTAGTTGTTTTTTTTTTTTTTTTGACAGGCAGAGTGGACAGTGAGAGAGAGAGAGACAGAGAGAAAGGTCTTCCTTTGCCGTTGGTTCACCCCCTAATGGCCGCCGTGGCCGGCACGCTGCAGCCGGCGCACCACGCTGATCCGAAGGCAGGAGCCAGGGGC